TTGCCCCTGCAGCCTGTCAGAGGCTACACAGAGACCCATAGACTCACATAGAGACCCATAGACTCACATAGAGACCCATTGACTCACAGAGAAACCCATAGACTCACACAGAGACCCATAGACTCACACACAGACCCATAGACACACACAAAGACCCATAGACTCACAGAGAGACCCAAAGACACACATAGAGACCCGTAGACTCACACAGAGACCCATAGACTCACACAGAGACCCATAGACTCACGCAGAGACCCATAGACACACACAAAGACCCATAGACTCAAACAGAGACCCATAAACTCATACAAAGACCCATAGACTCACATAAAGACCCATAGACTCACAGAAACCCATAGACTCACAGAAAGACCCGTAGACTTACACAGAGACACATAGACTCACATAGAGACCCAAAGACACACACAGAGACCCATAGACACACAGAGACTCATAGACACACAGAGATCCATAGACTCACATAGAGACCCATAGACTCACTACAGAGACCCATAGACTCACCACACAGAGACCCACAGACTCCCCACCCAGAGACCCACAGACTCACCACACAGAGACCCACAGACTCACCACACAGAGACCCACAGACTCACCACACAAAGACCCACAGATTCATCACACAGAGACCCATAAACTTGTCACACAGAGACCCACAGACTCATCACACAGAGACCCACAGACTCATCACACAGAGACCCACAGACTCATCACACAGAGACCCACAGACTCACCACACAGAGACCCACAGACTCATCACACAGACCCATAGACTCATCACACAGAGACCCACAGACTCACCACACAGACACCCACAGACTCACCACTCAAAGACCCATAGACTCACACAGAGACCCACAGACTCACCACACAGAGACCCACAGACTCACCACACAGAGACCCATAGACTCACCACACAGAGACCCACAGACTCACCACACAGAGACCCACAGACTCACCACACAGAGACCCACAGACTCACCACACAGAGACCCACAGACTCACCACACAGAGACCCACAGACTCACCACACAGAGACCCAGAGACTCACCACACAGAGACCCACAGACTCACCACACAGAGACCCACAGACTCACCACACAGAGACCCACAGACTCACCACACAGAGACCCACAGACTCACCACACAGAGACCCATAGACTCACCACCCAGAGACCCATAGACTCACCACACAGAGACCCACAGACTCACCACACAGAGACCCACAGACTCACCACACAGAGACCCATAGACTCACCACACAGAGACCCACAGACTCCCCACACAGAGACCCACAGACTCACGTAGAGAGAAAATGATTAATAAATAATCCCTGCAGTCACGCAAGCGTCAAATCAAGATATTCAAAGTATTTTTCATTTCCCTCGCTGTTTAATTTCACGAGGTGTGGCACGCTTTCTTTTTCTTTGTAGATTCACCACGCCCTGTCTATCACGGGTGACAGCGTCTCAAACGATGTGGACTCATCATCATCATCGTCATCATCTTCGTAGCAGCCAAAGACTCAAATTGCATAGAAATACATCGGAAGCATAGAGACCCGTAGACTCACACAGAGACCCGTAGATTCACACAGAGACCCATAGACTCACACAGAGACCCGTAGACTCACACAGAGACTCACACAGAGACCCATAGACTCACTCTGAGACCCATATACTCACACAGAGACCCGTAGATTCACATAGAGACCCATATACTCACACAGAGACCCGTAAACTCACACAGAGACCCGTATACTCACACAGAGACCCGTAGACTCACACAGAGACCCATAAACTCACTTAGAGACCCATATACTCACACAGAGATCCGTAGACTCACACAGAGACCCGTAGACTCACACAGAGACTCACACAGAGACTCACACAGAGACCCATAGACTCACACAGAGACTCATAGATTCACACAGAGACCCGTAGACTCACACAGAGACCCATAGACTCCCACAGAGACCCATAGACTCACACAGAGACTCACACAGAGACCCATAGACTCACACAGAGACCCGTAGATTCACACAGAGACCCATAGACTCGCTCAGAGACCCATAGACTCACACAGAGACCCGTAGATTCACACAGAGACCCATAGACTCACACAGAGACCCATAGACTCACACAGAGACTCACACAGAGACCCATAGACTCACACAGAGACCCGTAGATTCACACAGAGACCCATAGACTCACTCAGAGACCCATAGACTCACACAGAGACCCGTAGATTCACACAGAGACCCATAGACTCACACAGAGACCCGTAGACTCACACAGAGACCCATAGACTCACTTAGAGACCCATATACTCACACAGAGATCCGTAGACTCACACAGAGACCCGTAGACTCACACAGAGACTCACACAGAGACTCACACAGAGACCCATAGACTCACACAGAGACTCATAGATTCACACAGAGACCCGTAGACTCACACAGAGACCCATAGACTCCCACAGAGACCCATAGACTCACACAGAGACTCACACAGAGACCCATAGACTCACACAGAGACCCGTAGATTCACACAGAGACCCATAGACTCACTCAGAGACCCATAGACTCACACAGAGACCCGTAGATTCACACAGAGACCCATAGACTCACACAGAGACCCATAGACTCACACAGAGACTCACACAGAGACCCATAGACTCACACAGAGACCCGTAGATTCACACAGAGACCCATAGACTCACTCAGAGACCCATAGACTCACACAGAGACCCGTAGATTCACACAGAGACCCATAGACTCACACAGAGACCCATAGACTCACACAGAGACTCACACAGAGACCCATAGACTCACACAGAGACCCACAGACTCACACAGAGACCCATAGACTCACTCAGAGACCCATAGACTCACACAGAGACTCACACAGATACCCGTAGACTCACACAGAGACCCATAGACTAACACAGAGACTCACACAGAGACCCATAGACTCACACAGAGATCTGTAGATTCACACAGAGACCCATAAACTCACACAGAGCCCCATAGACTCACATACAGATCAATTGACTCACACAGAGACCCAAAGACTCACACAGAGACCCATAGACTCACACAGAGACCTATAGACTCACACAGAGACCCATAGATTCACACAGAGACCCGTAGACTCACATAGAGACCCGTATACTCATACAGAGACCCGTAGACTCACACAGAGATCCATAGACTCACACAGAGACTCACACAGAGACTCACACAGAGACCCATAGACTCACACAGAGACCCATATACTCACACAGAGACTCATAGGCTCACATAGAGACCCATAGACTCACACAGAGACCAATAGACTCATACAGAGACCCAAAGACTCACACAGAGACCCATAGACTCACACAGAGACTCATAGACTCATGCAGATAACCTACAGACTCACACAGAGACCTATAGACTCACATAGAGACCCAAAGACTCACACAGAGACCCATAGACTCACACAGAGACCCATCGACTCACACAGAGACCAATAGACTCACTCAGAGACCCATAGACTCACACAGAGACCCGTAGACTCACACACAGACCCATAGACTCACACAGAGACCCGTAGACTCACACACAGACTCACACAGAGACCCATAGACTCACACAGAGACCCATAGACTCACACAGAGACCCGTATACTCACACAGAGACCCGTAGACTCACACAGAGACCCATAGTCTCACACAGAGACTCACACAGAGATCTGTAGACTCACACAGAGACCCG